GGCCAAAGCAAGGGCGCCGTCGCGCGTGGCCTGGCAGAAGAAGGATGCCCCTTCTGCCCCCTACTCGGCGTCCGACACGCCCGCTTGTCCAAGCCTCAGTGGCCCAGATGGGCAGGGCGGATTTTAAATGTCAGATTTTACTAACCAGCCACACCCGCTACCTGTGCGTCCTCAGCTACCCGGGGACCTCACCTTGTCTCGGTTACAGCTGGGAGACGAGGTGGGCGAGTAATTTTCGCTACTTTCCTCAGCTGCAGGGACAAATAATTAGCAAAAGCATTAATCAAGTCCCAGATTGTATTTGACAGTATTCTCTGACCGGTGTTTGGGTAAACCTCTTTAAGCCCCATTAAAGGGTCAACTTCTATCGATAATATATAGCATTTGAATGTCTTACATATCTTTGGTTTTTAAAAATAACATTTTGTGTTTGGGGTAAAAGTTTACACAGGAGTCAGGCTCCAATTTGATCATTTCCACACAAGTTGTTCAGTGATAACCATTGCATTTCCCATAATACGTCAACAAGCCCTTTGTGTTCTGGTTGTTCCGTATTCTGGCCCAGAGTTTCCCTTGCCCCTTTATTATCTCTGCCTTAGAGTCAAAGTTGGCCTTTTCTGTGATACGGATGGTTTTTAAATAGGGTACCTGCCATACATACGCATGCGTGCCTCTCTGCTATATCACCAAAAGGTGATTGGGAAAGACTTAAGGTTTCAAGAATGTCTCAGGGAAGTCGCTTCAGGCTATCCTCTGGTGTCTTCTGATCCTGTAAGTCTGACATTGTATTTTATTTTTTTAAGAATCTGAGTTTGGGTCTATATTTTTTTCTACTATGATCCAGGACTTTCTATCATAAATCTGGCAAGAACAGTCACTTGTCACCAAGTACCGTCTGGTTCTCCTAGTGTCCAGATAGATGAAGCCGTGGCTGCTGTAGACGTGTTTTCTCTTTGGCTACCTTATTACTCTGTTGCTACTGGCAAGTAGCTTCTGATAGTTCATCCAATAGATGTCCACAAGCTTTTAAAACTCCAGATGTTACTCATTACATAAGGACCCCCAAAATCCAAACTCACTGCCATTGAGTCAATTGCTGACTCATAGGGGCCCCCTGAGGGTTTCCAAGACTGTAACTGTTAATGGGAGTAGAAAGCCCAGTCTTTCACCAGTGGAGTTCCTGGTGGTTTCCAACTGCTGACCATGTGGATCAAGGGCAAAGGCTTAACTACTAGACCACCAGGGCTCCTTTTACACTAGTACAGAGAACATGAATTGTGTGAAGTATGTTGTGCCCTGGTGGCACAGAGAGTTACAAGTTGGGCTGCTAATCACAAGGTCACAAGTTGGAAACCAGCCACTCCACAGGAGAATGTTGAGGCTTTCAACTCTCATACAGAGTTATGGTCTTGAAAACTCCTAAGGGCAGCTCTGTCCCATCTGTAGGGGCGTTATGAGTTGGACTTGACACCATGCCGTGAGTTTGAAGTTGGATGGTATGCCAATTGACTGAGTTGTCCCACGAGATTATGATCGAAAGCCATCCAATCCAGAAAACCAATCTAGGAAGGTGTTTGGGTATGTCTGAGGAGTCGTTCTATTTTTGTTTGCAATGATTAAAAATGCCTGCAAACACTATTTTTATTTACACGTTCATACAGATACTCCTCCTTTTTCACCTCTCTCTACAGCTGCTTCTACTCATACACTTATATGGCTATACCCATACATACGTGCTCAAACTTTTTTTTTCATCTTTGTTGGAGTTGTGCCATTTTAAACTACTCAAATAAAAAAAAACCAAGCTGACTACCATTGAGTTGATTCCAACTCATAGTGATCCTGGAAGAACAGTTTAGAACTGTTCCTGTGGGTTTCTTCTTTCTCCCATGGAGTGGTTAGTGGTTTTGAACTGCTGGCTTTGAGATTAGCAGCCCAATAAATAATCACTACACTCTCAGGACTCCTTCTTATACTACTATATATTAAATTCTTTATTACAGTGGAATCAGTGACTTTGGTTATGCTGTGCTCACTAAACTCACATCTGGTGCTACTTTTCCAAAAATAAAAAGTACCTCCCTTCTAAACAGCCATAGTGGCATAGGATTACAGTTGGGTTGCTAACCACAAGGTGAGAAGTTCTAAACAACTAGCTAGATGATCCTTGGAAGAAAATGAGACTTTCTACTCCTGTAAAGATTTACACTCTTGGAAACCCATAGGCACAGTTCTACTCTGCCATACAGGATCACTGTGAGTCAGAATAGGCTTAACGGCAGTGAGTTTCCATTGGTTTTGAATCAGCTACCATCTATATACAACAGAAAATTTCACTGTGCTCGTATGGAACTTGTACATGGATCAAGAGCCAGGCTTTCGAACAGAGCAAGAGAATACTGCAGGATTTAAAATCACAAAGTTGTGCATTTGTATCTTCATACCATATTTCTTTAATCTGCATGCTGAGCAAATCATCAAAGGAGCTGGATTCTATGAAGAAGAATGTGGCATCAGGATAGGAGGAAGCTTATTAACAACCAGCACTATGTAGATGATCCAACTTTACTTGCTGAAAGTGAAGAAGGCTTGAAGCACTTGCTGATGAAGATCAAGGATTAGAGCATTCAATATATATTACAACTCAATGTAAAGAAAAAATATTCTCACAACTGGACCATTAAGTAACATCATGACAAGTGGAGAAAAGATTGGTGTTGTGAAGGATCTCATTTAGTTTGGATATAGTACAATCAATGCTCATGGACACAGCAACCATGTAATCAGAACACATATCACACATTAAAACCAAAACCACTGACATAAAGTTGGTTCCAACTCATATCCATCCTATAGGACAGGTTAGAGCTGCCTCTGTGGGTTTCTGAGACTGTAACTCTTGACAAGGGTAGAGAGTCTCATATTTCTCCCCCCGACCTGCTGGTAGTTTGCTGACCTTGTAGTTAGCAGCCCAAAGAGTAACCATTATGCCACCAGGGCTCCTAAAAGACACATTATATTTGGGTAAATCCATTGCACAAGACCTCGATAAAGTGTTGAAGTGGCCCTGACTCAAGCCAGGCTGTTTTCATTCACCTCATAGGCATTTTTAAGGTGGGCATTGAATAAGAAGACTAAAGAACTGATGCATTTGAATGATGGTATCGGTGAAGAATATTGAGGTAGTTAGTTTATTGGCACAAGTCCTTCAAGCCTGTCAGTGTCTCACAACTGTCCAACATATTTGAATTGTACTGAGCCATTTGTACTGCTTTATAATTCAACTGTTTATTTCTTGTGTTATCTATCTATCTAATATATATAATTATTAGCAAGCTGGTTTTGTCTCTCCAGAGAACCCTGTCTAACACAAATATGGTAAGCACCATGAACTGCCAAAAGAACAAACAAATTTGCCTTGGAAAATGTACAATCAGAATGGTCCTTAAAGAAAGGAGGGCGGAACTATATGTGACCTCCTCCCTGGGGGACGGACAACAGAAAAGTGGGTGAGGGGAGACGTCGGACAGGGCAAGATATGACAAAATAACAATTTATAAACTATCAAGGGCTCATGAGGGAGGGGTGAGTGGGGAGGGAGGGGAAAAATGAGGACCTAATGCCAGGGGGTTAAGTGGAGAGGAAATGTTTTGAGAATGATGAGGGCAATGAATGTACAAATGCGCTTTACACAATTGATGTGTGTATGGATTGTGATAAGAGTTGTATAAGCCCCTAATAAAATGATTAAAAACAAAAAAAAAGAAGTAAGGATGGCAAAACTTCATTTCATGTACTTGGAACATGTTATCGGGAGAGACCAGACCCTGAAAAAGGACATCCATGCTCCATAAGTTGAAGGTTAGCAATAAAAGAAGAAGACCCTCAATCAGATGGATTGACACACTGGCTGTAACGATGGGATCAAATATAACAACAATTGTGGGAATGGCACAGGACTGGCTAGTATTTCCTTCCTAGTGTTGACATCACTATCCATTGGATCCCACTGGAAGGCACCTAATAACAGCAACAAACAAGCATGTTTCTCTCCTCCCTCCTTTTC